AGGCACAGTGGTAGCATAGGCTCAGATGAACATGAGCTCCTTATACGGACTCCTGGAGTTTTGACGCCACCTGGTGCGATGACCTCACTTTAACAATACTTTAAGCATCATTTCATTTCAGTCTGCTCCCACTGAAATCTGTAAAATGAGCATGACTTCGCAAAATCAAATTACCTGATGGAGGGACCTGAACTGTCTGTCAGACTGCAGGGATCAAAATTTGACACAAATTACAGAAATACGCTTCATTATTGTAACAAATCAGGGAGCAGCTGTCCTGGACTTCTCATTCGAGTCAGCCAATGGAGGCTGCGGGAATTTAAATAGGCATTTTAGGAAAAATGACAGAAGAAAATTAGCTGTCAAACTTACCGCACTGCACAATGTACTGCTCTGTATGAAGGAGGACGTGCAATATAAAGACACCTTGTCAGTGCACTACAGGAAAATAATAGCTTTATTAGTGACATCTGAGAGATCCGTGTTGTCAGAGATGCTGCACATCTTCAGTGTGTTAAACACACACACAAATAAAAACTGTGCACGTTTCAACGGACAGGGCCTTTTAGAGCTTTCAGCAACATTTATAGATACCCAAACATGTATAATTCAGAATTCAGGAAAACTTTTTCAGTGCATCGTGAGTAAGTGGGAGGGGGGGAGAAAAACATGTATAAGGCAGCCGGCAGAGCTGCCGTCTGTCTGCTTGAGATCTGGAGTTGTCTCTCTTTAAACAACACAGTGCAGGTGGAGCAGAAGGATGCGACAGATGGGTGGGATTTAGGACAATATTCATTTCTATCTTGAAGTTGCTCCCTTGTGCTGTAAAGTGTTTCCTGGTGTCCCACAGGGCAATAAGCTTCCATACGAATAGTCAGCGATGGGGTAGTTGTAGCCCTGGCAGGATGCTGCTATTTATAGTTACTCAACACAGTTCGGAGCACCTGGTCTGTTGGCTCTGAGGACAGCATGGGGAGCGATGCTATCAACAGCATATAGAATCGCCGAGAGGTAAAATCGAACTGCCCTAATAAAACAAATTAATTTGGTAGTATTTTACGATATATGTGGAGTATTAGAACATTTTTTGGGGGTGTGATGTTTGAACCAAAACATCACACCCCACAGCCAAATGGTAAAGCTGAAGATGCACAAGTGTTTGTGATTTGTCACTAGAACATAAACCGATCCTCCATTTGGGAAACACAGGGACTTTGTGCTGCTATAAATGTGCTAACTTCTGTTAGTTTATTATTTAGAACAGGAACTAAACATGGACAACCAACATTTACCTTTATACTTTACCAATATAGAGCAAACTTAAAAAGTACCATTTACGTCAGTATCCAGAATGACTGGGACCAACATCTAGTTTTATACTTATAGAATAAAACAAGAATCAAACATGGAGAACCAACCAAAACTCTTGTTATCCAGCAACCCAGAACAGTGCATTTAGTTTTATACGTCACTTTTAAGCTCTGGAGACCACAGGTCATCATCAGACATTCAGCTTGGGATGAAAACATCTCCGGTCTAAAACTGTAAAGTAGCTAATTTGAGATTAGCACTCTGGTTTTAGGATCAGAGTTTAGCATCAGGCTCTCTGCTCGTAACTATCTGGCTTCTTCAATATTTTTTAAGATTGCAACGTATTGTAAAATGTTGCTTGTTATAGAAACTCCATGTAGTTGAAGATAGATATCAATGCTATAAGATGCCATAAGAAGTCATGTACGACACACAGCTCAGATTCAGGTTAGTAATGGTGGCACATTGTTTATCCCATGCCTTTTTTCTTCTATACTGCGTCTATGTGGGTGTTTTCTACCGTCTTGACACAGAACTTATTTCAGATTTATATGTGAACAATAAGCAGGAGACTTCAGGACCGAGGGTTCGGATGACGTTCCAGACTTTTCATTGTAAATGTTCCTGGGTAGGCCCTGAAGAAACAGATATTCTTGGCCAGAATTTGACTGAACCAAAATGCAGGGGAAAAAAGAATCTTGAACTGAACATGAACTGTTTTTGTTTTTGGCCACTTGACCCTGTTTTTATGAATTCCACCTGAATACTTATTCACAGCTAACCCCCTCTGTTATCCTGGTCAGAGTCCAGCTACACATCACGTATCCTGCTGTTTCTTTTCATCTGTCAGCGAGGAGCATATGAGGACCGTAACCTTTTCACCCCCCCGGTCCACCTCCCATTGCACAGACAGCTTGAACTATCAGTGGGACTCTCAGGAGTCAAGGGCATGTTCCCTTGCTGCCTCTGAATAAAACCATAAAACCAGTGTGAGGACTAAAACGTAGCACCATGCAGCAGAACCTTCCTATCATGCCAGCAAAACCCAGCACTCCTCACTTAAAATACTACATTTTCAGTAATTACATCAAAAAAATACCATGCGGCTCATTTTTGCTCTGTTGCCTTTGATAAAATGTCTCTATTTATTCGCTTTTATGTACAGTATATTGTGCTTGCAATTGGTGAGATGGGAACAGCCAGCTCATCCAGTCTTCCAGTGAGCGGTATCTGCCTGCTAACTCAGTTGTGACTGACACAATTAGATAAGCTGCTCTACAGCCAAAACAAGGAGACGCATTCAGCTGTTTTATTCAAAGAGGTCTGGCTGATCTAGGAGATACATCTACAGTCCCAGTGGTAATCACTGAGACACTCTGGAGCTGAGGGGAAAGATTTAAAGATCCTTCAGATATTACAGTAACACTTCCCGATAAGCTCCATAGAAATGCACTTTGGTAAAAAAAAGAGACTAATGTTGAACCAAACATCGTTACTACTATTAGAGAGCCATTAACTAACTAACTCATTAATCAATCCTTCATTAGTTTTTATGTTTACTTACCATTAATAAAGTTGTGAGATTTGTTTTCAAAGCCTCATCATTAGAAAATGTTTTATTATGGTGTCCTACTGACAGACTAGAGACATTTCAGTCTAGAGATATGTCAGGCCTCTTGACTGTTCAACTCATCCTTAGGCAACCACTAAGTACCATCGCATTAAGCATTTCCTAATGACGAGGCTTTTAGGATAAAAGTTTGTCGTTACCTAACCTTAATTAGTTAGTTAGGTATAATTAGTTAGGTTCATGATTCGTTCATAATTGGTTCTTTTTGTGCTAAACATATTTTTGCAACCCCTATTAGGAAGCAGAAACTAATGAATCAAGAATCAAGTTCATCAGTTTGTGATTAATTAATAATTATTGCTGTATTAAAGTAGATTTTATGACTTATTGGAACATTTTACCTAATTAATCAAGAAACAACTGCCCATTCTTTTATGATAAGGCTTTGTTTAATAACTCTTCTCTGTTTACTGAGATTTAATAATTAACAAGCCACTTATTCAACATTATCAAAACAGCAAGGCATTCTTAATAAGTGTTACCTTATTAGGCAATGGCTAACCAGAACATTAGTCCATCATTAGCAAATGGATAACTAGCAGAAAGTTGATAATTAGTTTATTGTTTTCAACACATTTATTGTTTCTATTTCTGGCAGAACAACAAACGCTGACAAAGACCTGACAGCTCTAAAGCAATGTGTGTATTTTTGTTTTAATCCAAAGAACCGGTGCAATAACCATAGAAGACTGATGCCAAATAATTATCCATGGTTCATATTAAAAAGTGACCTGAAGCTGCTGCTGTCCAAACATCCAATCATCCTCCTTCACCAAGATTTGATTCTGAACCTATTACAAGCTTTGAATATTGGCTTTACAGGAGGATGCCTGGCAAATGAATATGTCATTAGGCTTAACTTGCACAGATGGAAAAAAATATATATATATATATTTTTATACGTGCGATGAAATTCAATTCTGCTGAGGAAACGATTTTACATGTAAAATATGGAATTTAACGGTGAAACAAAACTACATGTGTGTTTATGGTATTTTCATGTCTGATTTAGTTTGAGTAGTTTTTTTAAACATCACTGCACTACTGTGATCTGCCTCCCTTTGCAGAACCAAACAAGAGCACAACTAACCCGTCTCACCCAGAAACCAAACTCTCTCTAGATCCTCAATCTGCATCGAACAGCTTCCTGCTGCATCACCATCAAAACTTAAGCAAATTGTCTGCTTTTAAGAGCGTAATATAGTAATCATGCAGATGGCAAGCATGGATAAGCTATGAGCTAGCTACAGAAAACACCTTCCTTCAGATTTCCTAACAAATCATTTTATGGGTGCAGGGGTGCTCTCCCCCCCAGCAGGCAAGTGCTCTATAAGGGCTGGAAAAGCCCCAAGCAGCATCCGAACGGGCCCAGCTGTCACGCTGGGAAAACACCACCTAAAGTCATTTTACAAAGCCCAGCTATTTGAGGCAGCCAGATCTGCAGCAGCCATCATCTGCTCAGCAAAAATGCGAAAAAAAAATAAATAAATAAAAAATCAGCAGCCTAGCATTTGCCGCCTGGTTTGAGGCATTCATAGTTGCTAATCGTGTTAAACAGTAGAGGAGACACGATTCACAAGCAATATAAACAAGCCTCTAAGCGTCAGGCTGCAGGCTCAGCAGGCTCGTCTCCTAGCGCGCTCTATCCTCCACCGTGGATGCAAGAGGTGTGGCGAGAAGGCCCGAGGCTGAACTGGAGATGGGAGAGCTGCTAACTCTTCTTAGAAGAGGAGAAAATTAGAAGCATAAACATATAAACAACATAGCACAGCAGAGCAGCGGCTACCATCTATTAGAGTTAGCTTTTTATTCAGGAGCCCAAGAGGCCTGATTTAGCGCTGCTCTGAGCCTAATTAGAGACCAACAGAACTGTAAACTAAATTTTGTTCACAAGTTTAGAGTTTCCATTTATTAAAATGAATGGAGACTTTATCAGCTGAAGGCCATCGGGTTGGACAGCGTTCCCTTAGGCACACAGCAGAAACTCTAATGCTTCAGTCACCATGGTACTTCAAATATGTTGTTGTCAGTGAAAACATCATCATCATCTGAAGCTCACCCTGTAGTAGTCGCTGCTGTAGATATCCCTGGACATGCCGAAGTCTCCAATCTTGACCAGAAGGCCATTTCCCACCAGACAGTTGCGAGTTGCCAGATCTCTGTGAACAAAGTGCTGGGAGGCCAGGTAGACCATGCCTGAGGCGATCTGGGTAGCGATGTGCAGCATCTGGGAAAGGCCCAGCTCTCCGTTGGACTGCAGCGGCTGGCCGTCCACCAGGATCATGGCATCAGGGCCGTGGGCTCTGAGGTAGGAATAACAATTCAGGTTGGAAATGTGACGTGATACCTTTGGTCAATTTCAGAGGCCTATTGGGATAAACCACTTTAAACAGTAAAGAATTAGGGAGGAAAGTACTTCAACGTTGCATAAATATAGTACCTTGCAAAATCATTATTACTCCTTTTTCACGTTTAGGAATAGTACAACCAGTAGAGTTAATGTAGTTTTGGAGAATATAGGAAGTAGCAGGAATGACTAAACGTGCTACATAATAAAAGCAACACAAACAAAAATACATTACACGTCAGACAGACAAGTATTGAAAAGTTGGAACTCCAGACAGAATTAATCTATGTTAGGGTTAGGGTAGTTGTTATTAATCGAAGGCAGCAACTAAACTTGACTAAAGATTGCATGAGTAAGTTTCTCACAATCTTGGTTGGACAGTTTTTTAATTTTGGAAATGTTCTCGAGGTAATAAAAGGCTGACTTTGTAGCTATCTTTATGTGTGTCTGAATGTTCGGGTCACAGTCCATCAGTTTTCAGGCCTCATTACTAGCTTCTAGCTGTAATACCTGAAAGCTGCTGAGAATTGGCTCTTGATCTTCCTCTTTAGGTCCAAAAAGTTACTTCAGTTTTTATGTCAGTTAGCTGAAGTCATAGGACATCTGCATATTGATTTCTTTTCTATGTATCTGCTCAGTGCTTAAACGGGTTCATAGTCACCTGGTGTGTATAATCTGCATAGTTATGGTAACTAATCTTGCAACTTGTATAATCTGAGCTTGTAGGAGCATGTAGATAATAAATAGGAGAGTTCCCAGGGTTGGACCCTGGGGGACGCCACATACAATTTTTGTCTACGTCAAAGAAATGTTACCTACTGATACAGAATCATCAGGTTTTTTCAGGTAAGACTCACCCTTTCACCTAACACAACCCTCTCTTCACTTCAATAATATGTTGTGGTCAACAGGGCCAAATACTGTGCTGAGACATAACAGAACAAACACTGTGCTTATTTATGTGAATGTCATTGAACTCTTTGAAACCGGACTGAAATACATCAGAGGTCATTGCCAAGAAGTCAAGCAGGTTTTCAACAATCTTGCTATTTTTATGGAAGGTTAGAGATTGACCAGCAATTTTCCAATCGCAAAAACATACACTGGAATTTGTGGCCATATGACAAATTCATATAGCCCCACGTATGAAGGGAGATGAATATCTTTTAAAAGGTACTGTCCACACCGCAACAGGTAGTGCTGCAGTAGCTCTGTGCTAACTAAAATATAAGCGTACACATCACTGCTTATGAAAGACTGTGTTAATTCAGCTTTAAGAGCGTCATAGCCGCCGTTTGTAACCAGATGCAGACGTCCAAGTGTGAGCTCGGCTTGACAGAGTGCCCTTTAACACAGTAACCCACAGCCGCATCAATAAAGCCTTATCCAGAACACATTCATGTCCCATTCTGCGTGTTCAGAAGAATTAGCATAACAAAGAGAAAAATGAGAGAAATGTGAGCAAATTAACTTGAACCTGCAAGCGCTCAGGCTGCTTTAATTGCGCTGATAAACTGTTCTGTGCCTGCACCGGTCTGATTAATTCTGTGGCTGTAATTTGAGCTGCGGAAAGCAAAACTTTTGACTTCGCCCGACACGTCGGGAACTCGAAGCGAGGTCTGTGGAATCTCATCCACCTGCGGTGCGTTTACCAGAACAGGCTGAGTGCAGGTTTCTGGGTGACAGTGAAGAACTCATTTCCTGTGAAGTGTCCCCGCTGTTCCCATCACCTTCTTGTCAGCGTGATTACCGAGCAGGCGCCGCTCAGGAAAGGCTGATGCTCTTCTGCTCTGTCAGCCTAGCTTTCAATCTCCATTTTGGAATTTTAGTGCCATTCTGTGTTCTTTGCTTTAGGTGTGATGGTTAAGGGGAATTAGAGGGGGCGCCTTTATGGCGTTACTCTCTTTCTTTCTTTTTTTACCCCTCCCTCCATGTGCAGCGGTGTCTGACTGGACGCAGGCTGCCCTCAATTCATCTGAAGGTTGAGTAAGACCCGAACATCTGATCTGATTCATTCCCATTGATTTAGTGCACATCACATCTTTTAAATGTGACCAAAAGGCCCGGTAGATGAAGAATCAACGCCATCTTGCACCTTGCATGAAAGAATTTCATCACTCGCGACGTTGCCTTTCATTTCAGGAATGATTTCCTGACTGAAAATCTTCACGCACTTTTGAGCCCGCGCGCATGCGAGGCGCGCTTGCTCTCGCACTCAATCATAACATGTCATCTTTTCATCCACCGCTCAAGATTTAAAAACAAGACCACACACACACAAAAGCATACACACAGCTGCCGCCGCTGTCATTGCACTTGAAATAGCACGCTTCTATCTCTCACTCCTCTCGAGCACGCTGACATCAGCTCCAGTCAAGCCTCCCATTACCAAAGCGCTCACCATAGCGTCGTCGTGTCGCTTTTGTTGGAGTTTATCGGAGGTCGTTTCCCTCAGTGCAGCCTGACAAATATGGAACAAAAGTGCCGCGGCGTGCGTGTGTGTGTGTGTGTGTGTGTGTGTGTGTGGACGTCAACAGTCCTGAAGGGGGGCTGGAAATTTTAGCACTGGCAGGACTTTGATTTTTCTTGGATTTCTGAAAAAAGTGTCTAAAAATGTTTTGTGCCTTGTAAGGAATTCATGTCCCTTGATCTTGTTCATGTTTTGTCAAATTACAAGCACAGATTTCAATATCAGGATTTTATGTGACAGACCAACAAAATGTAGTGCAGAACCTGGGTAGGTGAAAAAAAAAAAAAAAAAACCCAACTCGGACAAGTTTTCCTGTCCTTGCTGAAGAAAAACCACGACTCAAGTCGCTGTGTTTCACAATGAGCATAACGGATCCATGTTGGCATGTAGTGTTAGTTTTCCACATAGCTCTTTGCATGTTGGCACATCAAACATCACTGCTTGTGAAATAGCTAAAACCTCGTCAGACTGGGTGTAGAGGGTGTGAAAAGGTATTTTATTGCCACAAAAGCCCTTTAGGATTTCAGGTTAGCCATTTTATCTATTGCTTTGTAGCTGACTGTACGTTTGGGACCAATGTCCTGAAAGGAGGCAGGAGGAACAGGAGGTTTCCACACACAAAGACTGGCTGTCCGTCTGTGGTTTGAAAACAGAACCAGCCACCTTCGCTTCAGTAATGATAAACACCGAGTGCAGACTTTGGTTTTCACTAGTTACATTTACTTAGTTACATTTACATGAGTTACTTTGTGGAAAGAATGTACTTTCAGGAGTATTTTGACTGTGTTGTACTTTCCTCTTGAGTAGTTTCATCATGACATATTGCTGCTCTTTTGGATTCTCTACTCAATGTGAGTAACGTCACAGAATGAAGAACAGGATTGTTTTATCCAAAGCTTCACCAGACACACACCTGCAGTTTTTCTTCAAGTTTCATCATTTTTACATAAGGAAAGAAATTTATCTGAAAAACTCAAGTAACTGATCAAACATTAATTGATTAATGTTTGATCAGTTACTTGAGTAACATTTTTACCAAACACCTTATCGATCTCTACTATAGCAATTTCTCGGATGGCTACTTTTTACTTTTACTCGAGTAAAAATATGTTGAAGTAGTGCTGATCTTGCTTGAGTACAGTTTTTGGCTACTCTACTCACCTCAGACATGCATTATCATGCACATTTAGTGAAACACTGACCTTAGGAATTTATTCAGGTCTCCATGCTTCATGTACTCGAACACCATGATGAGCGGGTCTCCGTCCACACACACTCCGTAGAACTTGACGATGTGGTCGTGCTGCAGGTTGGTGAGCAGCTCCGCTTCCCGTTGGAAGTCCTTCCTGGCTGACAGGTTGGGATCTTTTAGTGTCTGAAGGGGGAAATGAAAGGATTTATGTGAATGACTTGTCTAACGTGTCTCTAAGGAAAACAATACCAGTTTCTTTGAAACATTTTGCCTGCAAAAGGTGTTTGTAGACGTCTTGTTTGATGAGTGTGTTTAATCTGTTTGTGTTCAGATTTGTCAAAATCATTGGATAATTATAATGAAAGCTTTATTTTATTCTTAAGAAGTGACAATGGCAAATCTAGGAAGATAAACACAGTTTGGTATCTTTTTATTACAAGCCAATGGGTCAGATCTCTTGATCTTCCATTGTTCTGATCTTTGCAAAGTCACAGTTTAGTTAAAATGCAATAAACAAGTGAGGATCATTTAATAGGTTTCAGGTAATCATCACTGAATCACATAACTAGAGTACTCAGTATGTCTGGTTACAAATGGATGATGAGTTACAATGCACGTTCGCTCAATTCTCACGACAACCATCTTGTTTGACTTGGCACTTCTCTCTTCAGAGTGGGGAACGGATGTTTACCGCGCACGCAATTTCCGGTAAGCTTCATCGCGTGGAACTGGTGCATTGCATTCGTCGACGCCAAACATTGGCAATTTGTCAACATTTTAAACTTCCACACTATCTATGCTTCCAGCAAACAGTGTTTTCTCAGAAGCAGAAGGTCCAGACTCTCTGGGTGAAGCAAAGCACAGAAGTAGAGCTGTTGAAAACCTAATACATGTAACATTTCCCCATATGTTACATGGGGAAACATGTAACATATGTTACATATATTATTCAGTCTTAAAGCTGAATAATATGAGGTTTAACATCATGGCCATCTGACCAACAGGGTATTTCTTCACTTTTTGCAGTTCTGACCTCTTAAGGTCAGACTTTCTGAAGGTGTGCTAATTTCCCCTAATTTCACAACTCTCCTAAAAACCTAACCATTTTTTTACCGGGCTATGTCAGCATGGCTCCCCCTACTGTTATTTGATCTGCAGCAAAACAAGTTCATTCATCAAAACGACTATTTTGGAAGAAGAAAACTGATCCGTTGACCACACTTGGGATGCATAACATCTGCATAGAAATTTTGTTTCCACGTCACAGAATTTCAAACTGATTTTTCTTTTTAGGAACCAATACGGAAAAACAACAACAACAAAAAAACACAATAAGAGTGGCTATTTAATTTTAGCTGGAATACAGTTTTATTTCTTTTCATGTTTAAAATGAGAAAAAAAAATGCAGATCGGTTATCTGTAAGCTCAGTTTTAATAACATGTAGTGAATGTTGCCTGCTACGTAGGTGGAAGGAAATGCACCTTTAGTCTCTGTTTATACAGCAGCTGTTCGCTGCTGTTGGTAATCTCATGTATCCAGCAGTGAAATGTAAATTAAATGGTAAACAGGCTCTGAATGTACAGCATGTGTCCTGCCTTGTTGACAACTCTAGTACCTTACATTTTAAAGAAAATTCAGCTATTTACAAGAAGTCAAACAGTTTATTTTTAGCAAATAACTAAATGTTAAATACGTTTTCTTTTACAGTTTATTGGCATATGACTTTTAGGGTGCCACAGATCCAGACAAGCTTTACTTATTCTACTTTTTAAAGTCCAGTTGTTTCCTGGTTTTCCTATTTAGTTGACAGGAACGGTGTCGTACATGTAGCCCTCTAGCAGGCAGGGGTTAATCTCCATAGAGTTCCCCAGTTCACAACCGAAGACTGTGGGGCTTTGTCAACAGGAAGCGCAACATTGCACACCTTTAAATATATATTATATTTTACAACCCTTATCTGAGCCTTAAAAGCCAGTCAAACACCTCTTTCAGCGATTGCTTTCAAACACAGACTTAAACTCTTGCCCTTCCCTTAAACTCTTCCAGCAGCTGTGTGGCACCGTTCGACTTACTTCCCACTAAACCGAGCTGTGAATAATAGAAAACGACATTGTTTAGCAACTCGTTCAGAGTGGTTATGTTTGAAAGCACATAAGAACACAATCTTCCTCCCGCAGGCTACCGTATAAGCCCAAAAGAGAGCTCAAGAGAGGTTTTCCCCAGCTTCTCCCACTGAAAAACACCATGAACGAGAGAGCAAAATGCATCAACATGTTCTAGCTTTGCACCGTATTCATGCTAATATGGACAGAATCTATTTTTTTTGTCTCTAGCTTACACACATCTACATCAACACGTTACAAAAGCCAGCACTGCCTCGCCGTAAAGCACTGCCTCTATAATCTACCATTATAGCAGCTGTCATTTTCTACCCTCCTCAACATCTTGTACATATTGTAGCAATGAGGTCAACAATCACTGTGGCTGTAATGTTCTGGAAGGAAAGGTGGAGCTGCAGGAGCTGCACACAAAACAACCTGATCTGATTGGTAATAAGATGAAGCACAGAGGTGCCTTGAACCTGCCTTTCGGGTGCAGAGCACATAAAATGCCAACTCTTGATGGGATGTCAGGTAAAGCCTCCAATATGAGAAAAGAGAAATAAATAACAGCTATAAGCCTTATTGCGGTCTCTCTCCTGGAGAGAGAGAGAGAGACAGAGAGAAAAAGACTCTTGACACTTCATCAGCAGCAGGAAAATACACAGAGTTGCCACTTCTGATCTCCTCAGCCTTGAGTCCTGTTTTCCCAGCCTGCTGCTAACATTATCGCAGATGGAATGACCTCGGGATGGAAATGCATTTACTTGTATGTGCGCCACTATTTCAGCGCGGTGCTCCAGGTGGTTGAGATGTACGACGGCGTAGATGAAATGATCATAAAATTCTATTACCAAATCAAACGGCGCTCTTGAGTTGATGTTTTTGGTCTGGGCTTTTCTCCAAACCAGTACCTTCAAAGTGCATGCCGACAATAAATTAAGGGAAAGCACTGCGGTGAATTTTTCCCCAGAGTTGACCTTCGAGCGTGTTCAGAGAGCCTCTGTGACCTCTTGCTTCTCTTACAGGCAGGAGGAAATGGACATTGTATTGGCTTTTAGACAGGTTACAGTAGCTGCGTTTCCATTGACCGTATAAATCCTCAGTTTGACATTTAAAAATTAAATTTGGTTAAAACAGAAATTTTTGAAAAAAAATTATTTTTCAATCAAACGTTTCGGCATTAGGATGGTGTTTTTTTTTTTTTTTTTACCGTATCGAAATTGGTTTATTTCGCTAAACGTCAATGGAAGCAAGTTTTTCGCAAAACACGAGTCACATGATCAACGACCAGATGTTGCCACTGGTGCAAACCTAGAAGAAGACAACAGGAAGTAGTTTCAGGATCATGGCGAGGCAAACGTATCCACATGTCATTTTAATATTGTTTTTCTTTTAATGGAAACACCGCCATTGCAAAATTGTGTTTTGTGCCATTTGTAGTGAAAACACAGTTACTAAAGCAGGCCTGGTTATATAAAACCTATTCTACTCTGTGTTTAAACTTAGCTAAATGGCTGATATTAACCAGAGCATCAAGATCACTTTATTAGATACTGGTTGCCACAACCAGGCTGGACAACCTTGTACTTTCAGAGCCCCTTGCATTTTTAATGGCACTGATTCAATGCAGGGTTTGAAACATTCCTCAGACATTTTCATCCATATGAACATGATACAGCTCTGCACATTTCTCGCATTACGATCCATAAATCATAAATCAACCAATCTTCCGTTCTACCACATCCAATAGCTGCTTTATTGGATTTAGATCTAGAGAGTGGAGGAAACTGGAGTTCATTGCTTTTCAAGAAATCAGTTCGAGATGATTTGAGTTTTATGCAGTAGTCTATTAGCATGCTGGATATAGACATCCGAAGATGGGTACCTTACCAGCATCAGTGTCATTGAGGTAAAATGTTCTTGTTGCTGACGTCACCATCTGAACGTTGCAGCAGAAATTGAGACAAGCCAGACGCTGTAACATTTTTCCAATATTTTATTGTCCTATTTTGATGAGCTTGTGTGAATTATACACAGACTTTTGCCTCTTCATGTCTTGATTGTAGCAGTTGATTATTTGAGCTACCTTTGCTGTTTTTAACCCTTGTTTGCCACTCTACCCAATCACCTCTGACAATCAAAAGAGATTATGCCAACATGACTACCGCTTTTCCCTTTTTTGGGCCATTCTCTGTAAACTGGGGAGATAATTGTGTAAGAGTGTCTTATGTCTGAGCATCAGAGATACTCAGACAAGCCCATCTGGCACCAACAACCACGTGACGTTCAATATCACTTAAATCCTTTATCTCTCATTACAAAACTCAGTTTGTATTTTATCAAGATGTCTTAACCACACCTGGATGCCTAAATGTACTAAGTAGCTGCTGTTTGATTGGCTGTGTTGCCATTTGTAAGTTAACACAAACTCTTACATGAGCGAGAACACAATCCATTTGTTGGTAACCCATCCTGTTAATCCTGTTAACCGAGGTATGAACCTTGGAAGGAAAAAACAAACTATCACTGCAAGAAGCGCAATTTAAAACGAGAAAGTCTGCGGCCCCAATTAACACTTAAAGGACTTACATGCCTTTTGCCATCTGTGTGTGTTTCCTGAAAGGACAAGGTCTGTGTCGAGAGTTGTTGTCAACCCGCCGCTGTTATTTCTCTAATCCATCAAACGAGACAGCGACGGGCCCTGCAGCAGAAGACTTAAGGAAGTGTTTGCCGGCTTGGTAGCTCAAGAGTGTGATGTACTTGTACTGATATGACAGATGGTCTCTCCGACCAGCTGGTTGGCAGATTTTAGGCAAAGACACACCAGGACTTTGAGGGTGAAATGCGTCATGTCCGTCATTTCTTGCCATTAACCACACACCTGATGGGATCAGCCGGAAGTGTGTGACAGAGGAGACCGCTGGAACCCAAGGCTGGTTTATTTACACAGTAGAAAATAATGTCTATGCCTGGTGTGTTCAACCGATTAGACTGGGGGGCGGTGAGACGGTGAACACAGTTCACCTTGCTAAGTTTCACTCCGTATCTCCTTAGGTGGGGAAAATCTCATGTTTATTGGACACGGTCAGCTTGATAGGTGATTGATGAGCAGGTTCGAAAATGCCTTGCTGCGTTATGACAGAGCTGTTTTGTGAAAAGGACTTCCGACTGCATTGTTTGTAAGAAGATTATACACATTTAAATTATTCAACCTTGAAGGATGATAGAGGAACGTTTATTTATTTAACACAAACTCAAACCGTCACTGCAGTACATCCATCTGACTACCCCATTTAGAAAAAGAGGGGGCAGATTCTACTCCAAAACACTGCATCTCTATTTTTTATTTGTGTTTTTGTAACTCTACATTCATCCAACTCGTCACATCTGTCTGTGGCTACATTAATGATGAACAGTATATAAAAGACCATTTGGTTTAACTGTGAATTTACATTGAGAAAAGTTCCATTTTTGAAGATACATTTCTGGATGACAGCAACAAAATGTAATAAAATAATCTGGTTGTGTTTAACTCTTCGGACACCATAGCAACATTGGACACATTTTTTCACTCCAACACACACAAACACACACACTGACAACCGAGTAGTGAAGATGTACCTTGACAGCTACCAGCATCTTGTCCTTGGTGGGGCTCAGGTTGTAACACTCTGCCAAGAAGACTTTACCAAACGCCCCTTCACCCAACTCCCTCTTCAGGATGATGTCTCTCCGCTTTATATGCTGCACGACTGAAACAGGAGACAGAGGAACCGTAAATACACAGATATTTACTTACACTCATCCTGAGCTTCAACGTCATGTTGATTTTAAGCTTTTAATCGTCACCTTCCTAAAACATCTTTTGGAAATTTTCTTTTTTTCTTTTTTGTTGCAAAAATCACTTTTGGTATAAAATGACTGACTTAGACCATTATTTTAGGAAGGTGACAAAACAATGTGTTCAAAGTCTTCTCTTTTATGATAACGCAACAACTCACTTTAGCAACATTTTAAAACAAGAATTTAGTTTGAGTTGAAACTACATGAGACTTTTTTCTACTCCAAAAAGCTCAATGTTATACAAACATGTTCATGTGTTGAAGGAACATTCACACGCAAGAGAAAGATTGTGCTTTTGAAGCAACTATGAGGTTTTGGGATAATTCTTACTGGATATTTGCAGCCTATTCATTTTGTTCACTTGCAGAAAGTTAAAGTTCTTTTATTGCTCCTCCTTTATTTCCAAACCAATTTAAGGTGTTTTAGGATCATTATACATCTGGAATACCCAAGTTTCACTCATCTGTACCAAACCGTTACCTGTGATGAAAACAATATGGCACATATACAACAACAACAACAACAAAAAGGAAATACCAAGGTCCAAGCCTCACATAAATACTTGGATAGTGGTAAAATGAGCTTTATATCATCACCCTTTATGAAGCAGCAGCAGACCAAGAAGGAAGTATCGTTTGAGATTTCCAATCAGGAATGCACTTCTTGGTTGCATGAAAACAATTTTATATGCAGAACTAAGAGGGGTATGAATAATTTTTGTGGTTCACTGGATGTATTTGAGTCTATGTGAACTGATTTGGATCGAGAAAAACCACCATATGAAATTCAGTGGTGTTTTTTTTTTTTTGCTATACCACCTCAGCAGCCCCTTGTAAAGTTCAAACGCATAAATACTTAAAAGCCCAAAATAAACATTTATCATTTCTGAAGAAACACAGGACAAGTCATGTCAGGGTAACAGAAGAATGAACAACAACTATCCCCCTGGTGGCAAGGACTAGAAGACAGAGAAAAGATCAGAGTGTCTGATGCAGTGGATCTTTGATCTCACGTTGAAGCTGCTTAAGACAGAATACCGGGCACATGAAAGCTCAAGAGACTTTAAAAGTTTGCAATGCAAATAAACACAGCGACAATATCGGATCTGTGGAGCTGCATGAAGGCAATATTGTAAAACTTTTACCACTAACATCTAAAACCTCTCGCTGAAGCTTGGCAGAATAAATAATAATAAAAAAAAAAACAAAGTCTCAAGTTTTCTGCCCAGATAACTCACTGCAGCAGGAACAGCGCTGTAAACTTTACGTTTTTAGCTCCTGGCCTTAGATTATTTTCATTCCCAGCTGTCATTACTTACAGTGTTTGTGCTTCCAGAATGGAGGCCCGTTTCTTTTATTGATTATCCTTTAAAACCGCCACGGAATAAGATGACCAAGTAAGTGACTTGGCAGGAAAAGGTAGAAAGAGCAAGAAAGGAAACAGATTGTGGAAAAGACAAGGATGCGTGTAGCGCTTGTGAACAGAGCTGCTGTTTGGGACGGACACTGAATAAAACATGACGGGTTGTAGGTTTACCATGAAAGCCCAGTCGCTCCATAGAGCTGCACTCATAAGGGCACACACAGCTTAAACCACACTCCAGGTTAAAAACCACAACAAATACATCATACAGTAACTCCAGCTTTATCTCCGTTACAAAACGGCAATCGTGAGAAAACTGAAAATATGATGCTTAGCAACAGAGAAAGTGATGTAGGGATGAAATCGTTCTGAAACTAAAGTAGAATTTCTCTAACTATTTTGAGTGTGGATTTTTTTTAACCACAGGAAATGAGTATTTGGCAGGTTAACATTTTTAACTAAATATATTTTTTAATCGGTCCGTGGGCATGAAAATCAAGGAAGATATCCATGACAACACAAGTAGTCCACATAAGTCATGTCATGTGACTTATTTATCACATGACATGATAAATAAGTCATGTGTAATAAATTGGAATGACACAGGAAATAAATACTAAACGAAGAGAAGAAGCAGAAAAAAGGCAAAGAAAGCCAGAAGCAGCTAAAATTCACCATTATTTAGAAAGCTATCTGGTTTCCATAGCAACCTATTATCCACTGATTTAGTCCCAGTGGATTTTGTAAATGGCGTTCTCATCGGCAATCATACTAGAGGAAAACATATACAGCATTTCCATTAAAAAAATAATACACTGAGCTTCCAGGGTCTCTATACAAACTCAATGCGTGAGACTCCACTGCTGGAGATTAAAGTTGGACGCAGGAGATTTGGGTAAAAACCTCTGAATATTGGGAGGATACATGTGGTCTTGGAAGAAACTGCAAACACTTGAAGTGAGAAAAATTAACTTACAAGTACCTTTTCAACAAGACATAGGAGCTTGTTTAAGTCAATAATTCCTTAATATTAATGAAAAAGTGCTAGTTTAATTAACATATTATTCACTTATTTGAAAAATGTCTTGTTCTAAATTTAATAATCTGCCAGTGGAACAAGAACTTTTTCAATCAATATTAAGGAGTTATTGACCAAGAATAAGCTCATATTTCTTGCTAAAAAGTTACTTGTAAGTTAGTTTTGTCTTTTTTCATGTGAACTAACATATTTATAGTAGAAACTAGACCAAAGTACTTGGTAAGATTTTGTGTTTTTGCAGTGTGGAGCTATATTTCCTGAGAAAATTGTCAGTTTTCATTTTTACCAGATGCATAACAACATGGCTACTTTTCAAACGGCACCAGTGTTGCCAAATGGAAACTTAAATGTTAAACATTGAAATTCTTTACACTTTGTATCAACTATATTAGCAGGAAGGCCGGCACCAGCTCCACTCCACCATATATAGATAAGGAATATAGTCAATAGATGGAAGGATCATACTCCAAAATGTTACATTTTAAAAAATGCTAATGGACCAAACAAGTGAGAAAATTTACATTATTTGGTTAGAATGTACTTAATTTTGTGGAGTTAATAAATTCAAAAAGTTGCCATTAATTTAATTGTCTTTTCTCTTTTATTCGTACTCTGATAGATTAACTGAGATCTACCCAAAATTGATATGCATGCAAACTGTCACGCCACTCTTGTATGCTAATTTCTAACAGTGTGTTTTATCAGCGTTGTCGTTTTCTAGAAAGATCCGAGTAACAGCCGCAGCGTATCCATGCAAAGTCTCACACTCGTAGCAGCTCTCGGTGAAGAGAATTAGCTTCTTTTATGTGTGCACCCAGACCTAAGTGGGGACTTATCAGTGGAGACACAATATAAACTGATGAGGTCCCCCCCCCTCCACCCAAAGCCTGCAGTCATAATCTGTCCACACAATACCGTCTAACATCTTTCTCTAAAATGTCACTGCATGTTTTATCCTGTTGTTCTTATGTCCAAATTCTTCCCTCAGGCGGAGAGGATTCATAGTGTAGAGGTTAGATTTACCGACTTTGTAATTAGACAGTCCAGGTTCATCGATAGGACACGCTTTAATTTTTAAACTGTGCCACTCGCAGTGGGAGAGCAGCGAAACACTTTAGAAGGAAAAGCTACTTAAACCAACCACTGACTGCTACAAAAGCTAGCTGAAGTGAAAAATATATATGCATAGAGAAGATTACAAGATAGATAAAATAAAATAGCAGTAGCCCTAAAGTGTATTTCTATGTCGTTCCTATTTATTCTCATCTTAATTTAAAAATTACATTTTAGTTTCATCTTTAACAGGTTTTATTTTGTGGGGTATCACTGCATATATGCTGAAATGTGACTGCATTATCCTCACCATAAGTGCCTTTTTCTTTCTTCTTTCTTTGTTTGATGAATGATAAAATTTAATACATCTGCGGCAAACATCTGGTAATTTAATCCGTCCTCCATCTCTGCCTTCTTCGCTTTCATTAAATCAAACTCATTTGTCGGACTCGTGTGATGGACAGCATGTCATCGAGGAGGTAATTGCACACGAGCTAAAGGCAGTCAGCGTTTAATGTAGTGACTCTGAAAAAGCATTTATGCGCCTGCACTTAGAGCACATGAGGTGTTGCATCCATTCCAGAAGACCATTTAATCTTCTTCTATTTGAGCTCCCTACAATTTTACTAATGACTGCTGGCCTAACCCCGCCTACCTTGGTGTACTCTTGGTTTGTAAATATAATGCTTCTTCTGTAAAATGATAAATTCTTATAATAGATGTTAAGATATGACCTTACCGAGCTGCTTAATTTGGTTATCTCTACACTTCAACATTTGCTAGTCTGTAAAAAAATTAAGAAAAATTGCAGATTTTTAAGGAGAAAAATCATATTGTGAACACCTTACATCAACTATAAATTAAAGTGGTGGAGAGATCATTGTTCAGTCTTTTAGGTATTTTAGACTTTTGTTAATGTATAAGTAGAAAATCTGCATCTGAATGGTTGATAAAAGAATTAAGATCTTACAATGGTCTAGTAGAAGTCCTAGCTATAGTTATTCTCAAAACAAAACAAAAAGAAACAAAAACTTATTTTTACCCAACTTGTATACAAACCCTACTTATAAGATATTTCTATAAAAATGCAACAAACCACTTGATATGTGTAGAATTTCCTGTTAAGTTGGATGAACCCAGTTCTGCACCAACATCAGTTTCTGTTGCCAGGTAGACGCAGGCAATTCATCAGCTGTGTGATCGGCAGTCCATGTGTAAAATGTTAAATGGCCGTGCAAAGTACTACTACAAAACGCATCCACAACAATAACCAATAATACCTTTAAGGTGATAGGCGTTGTAAATATCAAACTGTTATAAGTTCCACTAAAGACCAGCAAACACATGAGAGCCTGTCTGATTGTTAGGGTAAAGTTTAGTTGGGTGTTGAGACAGTAGCAGCTGGCTGCTGCTGTTGGCTATGTTAGTGTCGCTGAACTGCTGATTGTGCTCTGT